TCCCATTAGATGGCAGCAATGTATAGATAATAATGGCAACTATTTTGGTTAAATAAATTTGTTAAAAATTTAAAAAATAAACAATTTATATTTTCAGTACAAATCGGCAATTTCATACTTTAACCCCTATTATTAATAAAATTATTTCGTCCTTCAGGACAGACTAAGACATTTAATTAGCTATATTGCCAGATCTCACATTTTAATTTTTCTTCATAATTCAATTTTCTGTCATTTTTTCGCGGGCAATCGTTATAGTCTTCATTACAATTTTTTCGAATCTTCTATAATAATATCCTGAAATACATAAATTTAAAAGATTTTTTGTTTCATTCATACCATACGTATGAAATAGTATAAATGAAAGAAAAAGGCAAGTTTCAATGCTCAAAAATATTCTTTATATGTAAGTATAGTCTTTTTTATAAAAGGTTATAATCCTTCCGGCTGGTTTGGTCAGAATGTCATTATCTACTACGCAATATATTGTTCACTCCTCAAAAATTGCTTTTCCCGAAATGACTGATTCTCTAAATGTCATTATATATATTATGAAACCGTCAAATTGGGGTACAGTTAGGGAAACTTTATTGGAACTTAAAATTATTAACTAAACGAAAATATAAAATACTCTTCTCGAAACAAAAATCTAGTCTTTGCGAGTACTAATTAGACATTCGGTTTTCAGCTTAACGCATTCTCTTTTTACTAGTCGTCGAAATATTCTGTAAAAACTTAATTTCAGTTAGTAGTTTCGCTTCTTTTTTCAACTTGTATAACAATCGCATCTGGGTTGGTTTGTGTGGCATACGTGTGTTCAATCTCCTGTGCCAACCCTCTACCGCGTTGTTTGTGCAATGTTTATCATTTAAGCAACTAATAAAAGACGCACAAGATATCCACTGCTTAGAAAAGTATTTTTGAAATTTGGTAATTTCTTCAGTTTCTGGGAAACAGTTTTTGCAAAGATGACCATGCACTGAAAAGTCTTTCCGTGGGATGTAAAGACAAATTGGCATACATCGCTACTGGCACTAATCGCATTCCCTCTGTTGTGGCAGTTACTTCTAACTTTTTGGTTTGCTTCCACAATGCCCTGTTAAAATGGTAATAACAACCTCTGATCTCTGCAGACGGAAAAACGACTTTTATGGCATTGATTAGGCCAATTTCAAAATCGCACTTTAATAATTATGAATCATCAAATTAAATCTTTCCTTTAGTAACGCAACGCAACACACTCATAGCCCCGCACTAGGGAAACCCTGTGTCGCGGGTGCCATGGACACACACATAGACAACCACAAATGACACCCAAACTCGCGAGAGAAATAAATGTAGGCCATACAGTGTTGGGCGTTAATCAATTAAATTTCAATCAGAAATTCAATCAGATTAAAAAATCAATTTATTTCGTCGATTTAATTGCAATCGATTTCAATTGAATTGATTTTTAATTGCAATTAAATTAATTGCAATTATTTTTGTAGTTGTTCTAAGAAACAATTGAAACTAACAATTAAAACCGAAACTGCTGAATAAGTGTCATTATTAGTGTTAGGGTGTCGGTTAGGGGGTTGGGGTTGGGTTGAGGTGGGTTAAGAGTGAGTTTGGGGATGGGTTAAGGGGTAGGTTGGGGGTTGGGTCAGGGGGTCGGTTAGGAGGTCGGTTAGGGGGTGAGTTAGGGGGTAGGTCAATAGGTGGGTTAGGTGATGGGTTAAGGGGTGGGTCACTCACCCGCTCACCCACCCCGTCAAACCCACTCACCCACCCCCTAAACTCACCACTTAACCCACCCCCTCACCCACCCACTCACTCACTCAAAATCGTGTCTGCTATCTTGGATTTAGAAATGAGTGCCATATTCGTAAAGAGCACCCCAAAATACCTCGAAAACGATACCCAACTTGCCATAGTTTGAAAAAATCGTGCCCGCCATTATGGATTTAGAAATGAGTGCCATATTCGTAATGAGCACCCCGAAATACCTCGAAAATGATACCCATATTGCATTTACTTAAAAGTCGTGTCCGCCATATTAGATTAAGAAATAAATGCTATATTCGTAATGAGCAGCTCCAAATACCTCGAAAACGATACCCAACTTGCCATTATTTGAAAAGTCGTGCCCGCCATCTTGTTTTTAGAAATGAGTGCCATATTCGTAATGAGCACCCCCAAATTTCTTGAAAATGATACCCATATTACATTTACTTGAAAAGTCGTGTCCTTCATCTTGGATATAGAAATAACTAAAGGTTTTAAGATAAGTTTTTTTTGTAAAAAACGAGTTAGATTTTTAACATAACATTACTATATTAACATTTTGTTCATTGGCGTTTAAAAGCGTTTAAAAACATAAGTTGTTTAACTTTTGTAGTTGTTAACCATTGAAATGGAAAAAACTGCTTATTTTTTAACGTTAGAACGTACGTTTAAAAAGCGTGCTTGTAAAAGCTCTTAAACGCTTTTTAGGTTGACGCTTAGAAAGTCGTTTAAAAAGCGTGCTTGTAAAAGCGCTTTTCACTTAAACGCTTTTTAGTTTGACGCTTAAAAAGTTGTTTAGAAAAACGTTTAAGCGCATAGACTTTATGTTTAAAAAAATCTTGCAACGTTATGTTGAATTAATTTGCTTAGGAAACATACATGGCGCTATTTGAAACTTAGGCACGTTGTAAAAAATGAAATTATTGAGTATCTATAGAACTGGCCTGTGACCAACGCTTACGCTTAAAATGAAAAGCGTGCTTATGCGCTTATTTTAAAAAGCAGACTTTTTAAGTGCTTTTCGTTTAAACGTCTACCTGTAGACGAGACGAACAAGTCGTTTCGATTACAAGACGAACGTAAAAAGGATTATTATGAGAATCAGTCATTTTGGGTAAAGGGATTTTTGAGGTTTCAACTACAAGTTATTAGGTTGAGTTGAGGAAGGAATTATAATTGAGTAAAAGTACATGTCATATGAATAAAGTATAGCGACTTTCGTCGAAAGTATGTTTGTCTGCCCATAGCTTCGTAGCTCCCAAATAGCTGGACTGATCGTAAGAGCCTGGTAAAAGAGCCTGATCGTAAGAGCGCGTATAAAATATGCACGCGGCGTATTTTATACGCGCCGACGGCATATTTTAAACGCGGGTCGTCTGCGCGTATACGCACCGCAAACGCGCTGTAGTCGCTCGTATGTATCGTGCATTTTGATAAAAGATAGTTTTATAGTTAGTTTTTGAAATGAAGCATCTACATCCTAACTATATACTCCAATGGAGTATATAATATAGGGCGCACTATAAGTTTCCGGAACTGGCCACTTACATACACAATACATAAAAAGTAATTACAACATTTGAAAATGGAACTCTTTGGCTGTAGAATATAGTTTGTTTCATCTGACTGTCACTTGTTTTTACATTGTGGCGTCATTTTAGAAATTGGTTGTCTACGTCACCATGGATATAGCTCGTGAAAATTTTTGTAGTATGATTTTCTACGACTAAGTGTAACTTAACAGCTCAGCGGAGCTTCGCTCGGCTTCAAACTGCTTTTGGCGACGAAGTACTGTCACGAGGGGTATAGCTCTAATGCATTGCGAGAGGTACTTCTAATAAATTCAAACTGGAATAATCCTTAAAAATATACTTTATTGTATTCTTTTACATGTTTAGGGTTACAAATCAATAATCTTAATCTGTCAAGCTCTTCTGTTTTCTTAACATTCTAAATATAAAACTATAATCACTACCTATATTCAGCCAGCAATTCTACTCATAGAGTAGAGCCTAGTCTACAGTACCATGCAAGTCGACAATTTATAGCTGGTTTGCAGAATTCAAACGCGGTCGTGTGAATCTCAGTGACGAATTTCGTAATGGTCGTCGGTCCACTGCTGTGAACAATAAACACATCGATGCTGTGCGCCGTATGATCAAAACAGACAGGCATGTGACATACCATGACATTCGGGCATCTTTAGGCATAGGCATGAGTCAAATACAACCAGTACTACACAAACATTTGGGTGAGAAAAAGCTGTGCTCTCGGTGGATCCACACAATTTGACTGAGGCTTAAAAAACGGATTGCGTCACTTTTTGCAATGCCATGCTTACCAGATTCAACGAAGGGGCGTCAAATTTGGTGTGGGACATAGTAACAGGTGACGAAATATGGATTTATAGTTACGATCCCAAAACAAAGCAGCAATCGAGCGTATGGGTGATTCGAAATGAGCCGAAACCAACCAAAATAGCGCGCGTGCAAAGTGCCTCTAAGAGGATGATTGCTTCTTTTTTAAATAAAACTGGACACGTGGCTACTGTTGCTTTGAAGACTCGTTGTACCGTGAATGGTGATTGGTACACGACCCTTTGTTTGCCGAAAGTTATTGACAAACTTCGTAAAAATAACCGAAAACGCCGTATCATATTGCACCACGATAATGCCAGTTCTCACACGGTTGGATAGACAAATGATTTTTTGAAGGTGAACAACGTTGACCTCATGAGCCATCCCGCGTACAGTCTCGACCTGGCACCTTGTGACTTTTATTTATTTCCAAAAATTAAGAACCAGTTACGCGGACAACGATTTTCATCACCTGTGAGGTTGTCGAAGAGTATGAAAAATATGTTTCAAAGATTGTCACTGTTCATTCGTATGAAAAAGTGCATTAACGCTAACGGAGAATATTTTGAGAAACAATAAATTCATTTATGACCATTTATAGCATTTTTTTCTTATTCATTCCGGAAACTTATAGTGCGGCCCACGTATAAGCTTCTTGCTTGCAACGCAATGTTTGCGCGCGTTTGAATCGATTCACTATAGCGCGTCTGCGGCGCGTATACTTACACGCAGATGACGCACGTTTACAGCGCCGTAAACGTGCATTCGTGAAACGCGCGTCATCGGCGCGTATAAAATACGCCGTATGCATAGGCTCTAAAGCGGTTTTTATTTGGAGGCTAGTTTAATCGGGATGGTGCTTAACTATGTTTGATAAACATATTTTCAACTGTTTAAAGATCATCAGCTCTTTTCGCATTTAGTGTAGGGATCTCAGTCATAATACAAATAAGTTTTTATTGTACTTCTACATGTCCGATCGACTTGAAAATTGGTATATTATGGTGTATATACACAGATCGACAGACTCCTTCGCCTGACGAAGGCGACGCAGTCGACTCGCCATTTACATCGAGTCGACTGCCGCCTACGGCAGACTACTTCGCCTTGCCGAAGGCGACGCACCCAGTCGCTTCGATCACTTCGGCTGCAAACTACCGTTCGTCAAATGACTCACTATAGTCGCCTGACGACTTGGTGTAAATGCGCCATTATGGAAATCCGATGACATGATTACAATAATAATGGTAACTTTGATCTGAGGGTCTACTCTCGTTCTCCGATATCCGTCCGAAATAATTACTGTCAAATAAATAATACTCGAACAAATTAAAAAACAATGTTAAGTATGAAGCTTCATTCGCATCATTCAATTTGATCGAGTGTTACTTATATGACAGCGATAGTTTCGGACGGAGTACGAGTGTACAGGGCCTGACGCTGCAACCACGAAAGTTTGCAGACTACCCAACCTCTCTAGTACTTATTGTAGATCAATCAATTGATCTCGTCGAGTTATTAGCTTAAAAAATGGCGACTTTTGGAGTACCCTGTTTTGTATCTGGAGTTTTTTAATTTAAATTGAAGTTTTTATTTTAACATTATCAGCGAGGAAGTGATCAAAAACATTATGTCGCGCGGGCGTAAAAGCAAATACAAACATCAGGCCCATTAAAGATCTCGTCTTCGGCTTGGGCCATGAATATCTTTATGTTCGTAATTGCCTACCAATACAGCTCTAGTAACACAATGAACTTGTACAGTCAAGAGCGCGTCTTGCTTGACACTTTGTACTTTGGACAGCGAAAAGCGGCATTAAGTTGAATTTAGATCTTAAGAGTCAAGCTTGACATGCTCTTGACCCTGTACATGTATAATTGAATTATACACATTACTGTAACAATTTTTATTTTTGTTAATCGTTACTGTCTTCTATCTATCTTGCCTTTACATGGCGCGGTGTAGTCAAATTGGCATAATCAACTTCTACTGAATCTTAGATCAACAACGTTATAAATGTTGCTACTTAATAAACTACACTATTATGAACATTACAAAAATAGGTCACGGTCTTCAAACGTGTCGCGCGTTAATTAATGTGAAGAAAACACTACTGTACTAAAATTAAATATGACTAGACTACATATTAGAATAACAAATTAAACTAACAACTGAATCCCCTTCCGTCCCTTATTCTTTCCCCGCAAAGCAGTGGGAAATGAACTACCTTGGACAAGAATTCGTTGATAGTCTGAAAAAGGAAATGAAAATGTTCAAAATTTTAATAGTATAGCAAGCTAGTCGGTAGTACACTTAATGCCTAATTTGTCAATTTTTTCCAGTCACATACCTATGCAATGCTATAATTGAATATCCTTGTCATAACCAATGGCCGGAAAAAGGTGTTTCACATATATATGTAGATACACGTATAGATATAGCTCAAGGAGCGACATAGAGGTGTTAAAACCACTTAATATTAATTAATTATTGTTTTCGAGTTCCGGATTTTCGGATGAAAGAAACTCCTCTCTTTATTTTATGTATGAAGATAAATATCCATACATGGGTAAGGCCGTCAAAAATGCCACTGTTTCGTCTTGTTTAAGTGTTTAGCGTACGTCCCAAAATTCCCCTCGTAAATAAAATTTTAATTTTTTTCTTTTAGTTCTACTAGCAAATGTCGCTGTTCCGTCACTGTGACCATTCTCGTTACTTTTTTATTCTTTGTTTTGGTAAAAGGTCAATTATCTACTGCATTTTTTACATGGCACCGTTAGGATTACTTTGAAATCCAACTTCGACTTCCTAGTTCAGTAGTTTTGTCCTACGATGCAGTAAAACCATTGTGAATCCGAAACAGTAATTAATTACTATTTGGTGTTTTAACAACTATGTCGCTCCTTGTAGCTATATCTATATATAGGTGGAACACTTTTTTTCCGATGAGCATTTTGGTAACTTTCGAGATATTGGCACCCAAAGTTTTCTTTCTTTGATATAAATGTCAGTTACGCTGATTTTGCTTACAATAAAACTAAAAGTAAGTTTGACATAAAAACCGCTTGTAGGGGATTATAGACCTCGTTTCGCTGATTCCAGATATGTTAATAACTCAATTTCGCTAAAAAATATCGATTACGTTAGTTATGATAAGGATGTAAGAAATAATAGCTAAGGAAATGACGTAAAGTTAATTTTAACAGTTTGTATAATTCGACCTGTAACCTACTGTCACACCACACCCCGAACACTCCACACAACAGTCGAATGTTATTTACCTACTACTACTACATATAGCACGGCAATATTTGCACACACGCAAATGTGCGTAAAGTGGCAGGGTTACCCATCACTTTCTCGTACTTATTACGTTACGTTGTCAGAGCGGCAACAGCCAAAATTCTAACGTGAATCTCTAATCTATAATCAATTAATCAGCTATAAATCTATTAATAGAATCCCATTAATTACACATGTCCATTAATTATTTTTGATCAATATGATATTACATTTTTCATTAATTCATTAAATAGGACAATCCCGAAGGTTTATTTCAAAAAATAAATTTAAGAGCACCTAAAATGTTATATTTTGACAGGTAATTTTTAATAAATTAACCAAGGTATTTGAAATTGCGTGTCCAACTTTATTTTACATTACTTAATTAATAATTATACCGGATGGAACAGAATGATCGACAAAGCCAAAGTTAAAGTCAAATAATCATTTATTCCACAGGTAAAATTTTTACGATTGAAAACGTCATTTTTGAAGCGACTGCTCGTTCACTACGCTGACCTTCCTGAGAAGAACGAGCAAGAAACTCTAGAGATTCCTCTTTTAAAATAAATTTAAATGCTATGGAATACACTTTGAATCATAATGGTGTGGAATCAAGACTCATGTTGTCTTTCCATACATCTTTATCTAACAAATACTCTTTTTAATATAACTTCAATTAAAATACTTTTCATTAAATTTTAAACTTAGGAAATGATAATCTTAATATACGGAATCATATACCGGAATCTTATTGTAAAAATATAGGTATATTGGTATACATGTCCCCATAAAAGAATCGTTTACCTTAGTTAAACGAAATTGTGGTACATACCATGAGTTTGGATTTAGTTCTAAGGTTAATATTATGGATATCTTCTTTCTTAATGGAAATATATATACATTTACGCGCACACAAAATATTTGAGTAAATGTACTGTGATGCCACAGCCATGATACCAGACTCGTTAAACTTTTCTTTGAGAGAAACCCGAGTACCTAAACGGTACACAGAACGAATCGCTCGTTTTTGCAACACGAATATTATAATCGACATTGTCGATCGACAACGAGAATTATAGACGTTTTCGAGTTGTTTGGGAGTGCTTATTGAGAATGTGGCATTAGTTTCTAAATCCAAGATGGTTGCCAGGAATTTTCAAAAATTTATTTTTGGTAATCCTTATGGGAATGGCATTTATATCTGAATACATGATGGTTAACACGACTTTCCTAATGCAAGATGGCGGGCACGATTTCTCAAATAATGGCAAGTTGGGTATCGTTTTCGAGATATTTGGGGGTGCTCATTACGAATATGGCACTTATTTGTAAATCCAAGATGGCGCACATGATTTAAAAAAAAATGCAATATGGGTATCCTTTTCGAGGTATTTGGGGATGCTCATTACGAATATGGCATTCATTTCCAAATCCAAGAAGGCGGGCACGATTTTTCGAATAATGGCAAGTTGGGTTTTTTATTTTTCTGGAAAATCGTTTACGCCATTTTGGATTTACAAATAAGTGCTATATTCGTAATGAGCACCCCCAAATACCTCGAAAACGATACCCAACTAGCCATTATTCGAAAAATCGTGCCCGCCTTCTTGGATTTGGAAATGAATGCTATATTCGTAATGAGCATCCCCAAATACCTCGAAAACGATAGCCAACTTGCTATTACTTGAAAAATCGTGCCGCCATCTTGGGTTTAGAAATAAGTGCTATATTCGTAATGAGCACCCCCAAATACATCGAAAACGATACCCAACTTGCCATTATTCGAAAAATCGTGCCCGCCATCTTGGATTTAGATATGAGTGCCATATTCGTATTGAGCATCCCCAAATACCGCGAAAAAGATACCCATATTGCATTTTTTTGAAAAATCGTGTCCGCCATCTTGGATTTACAAACAAGTGGTATATTCGTAATGAGCACCCCTAAATACCTCGAAAACGATACCCAAGTTGACATTATTCGAAAAATCGTGCCCGCCATCTTGGATTTAGAAATGAGTGCCATATTCGTATTGAGCATCCCCAAATACCGCGAAAAAGATTCCCATATTGCATTTTTTGAAAAATCGTGTCCACCATCTTGGATTTACAAACAAGTGGTCTATTTGTAATGAGCACCCCCAAATACCTCGAAGACGATACCCAACTTGCCATTATTCGAAAACTCATGCCCGCCATCTTGGATTTAGAAATGAGTGCCATATTCGTAATGATCATCCCCAAATACCTCGAAAAGGATACCCATATTGAATTTTTTTGAAAAATCGTGTCCGCCATCTTGGATTTACGAATAAGTGCTATATTCGTAATGAGCACCCTCAAATATTTCGAAAACGATACCCAACTTGCCATTATTTGAGAAATCGTGCCCGCCTTCCTGCATTTAGAAAAGTCGTGTTAGCTATCATGTATTCAGATATAAATGCCGTTCCCATAAGAATTACCAAAAAGAAATTTTTGAAAATTCTTGACGACCATCTTTGATTTAGAAATTAATGCCACATTCTCAATAAGCACTCCCAAACAACTCGAAAACGTCTCTCGACTCTCGTTGTCGATCGACAACGTCGATTATACGTTGTCGATTATATTAATACGTTCTGGTATTCTTTTTAATTCTTTTTTCTTCGTTTTAACAAAATAAGTGAAAGTAACGTTTCTTCGTCAGAATCCATTGTGTAACTGAGTCGAAAGATAAAACATCACTAAAAATTTGGTCGCACTTCAGCAGCGCGAGAGTCGCGCCGCGCGGTTGCCGCGCGGGTGCAGCGGCTAATTTGAACGCGCCCTCAGGGTTGTTGCAACGTGAAAAGTTTAAATCTGGACATACATTTTTCAACAGTTCTGATTTTACAATTAAAGTAAATAAAACTCATGTATGTAGGGTTCTTAACGTGATACTTTCGGCTATGTCGGTCATTCCGTTCCACCCGGTATTCACTAAAATTTGAGAACCCTTGTCTACTATATTACATATCATTATATTGATATGTCTCTGCACTAAATAAATGAAGAAAAGAATAACTGAACGAATCTCAGATAAAGAGAGAGAGAGACATAATTTTTTTGCTTACCTCGTTTCATCTTTCGGAAAACGAAGGGAAGAAACTCCTCTCTTTATCCCGTTTAGAAGATGATAAACACGACAATTATAAATAGTAACATATAATGATGTTATATATTAACGTATACAAGTTTCGTAATGAATAAATGAAAACTATATTCAAATATCAAAGCCGTCTTAGCGTGAAAACGGCTCGCCGACACATGCGATCGCATTGTTGCGTTCAGCCTAATGAGTCAACGTAACCGTCAATGTGCGGGGCGTGGTGCGTTATTTAAAACTAGGGAGGGGCGGAGAGTGTCCATTCTCGTTACTTTTTTGTTCACTGCTACTATATCAAGGGAATTACTTTTAGTTACTGTAGGTATTATAGTTAAGTCACCGTGTTTATTGTTCGCTCGTGGGAAACCTCTTAAATAAGTATACTTAGGCCACAAATTCGCAACGATGGGGCGTTCAATGTCTGCACGTACCTATTTGTCTTGTGTCACATTTGTACGCATTGTACACGCAAACCTTGAACACCCTGCTGAACGCACGACTGTTGCAAATTTGTGGTCTTAAGTATTTTTATTGACATCGTAACACAGTATAGTACAAGGTAGGCAATGCAGAAAACGATACCGATTTTTCTCTGCCATATTATTTTTCTGGTAGGCATATTAATCGCTTGCTCACTGTGCTTAGTCAATTGAATAACTCAGGATAAAGTTTTAATGAGTTAAAATACTAACTGCTATAAAATTTATGCAGGCTGCAAGCGGCTGAAGAAGGACGTACCAGCTGGAAGCAAAACCAGCAACCCAATATCCAAAAAAAAGTAAGATAATAAGCCATATGATCGAGAAAACAATGTTGCCCATTGCCTGTAAAACAAATTACACCTATAAAATATATAGGTAGTGCTTGAAATACTTTCGAAAACTTGACTGAAACATATGTTCTAAAGTGTAATTAATTAAATTTGCCCACAATGACAACTATATCAAAATAACTTTAGATAGATGCTAAATTGCATTGGTATCCACAAATAAATAAGTAGGTAAGCTATCGAACCGGCTTAACTCTGCAATGTACGCGATTTAAAAAATACGAAAACTTTCGGACGTACACTTACCTAAATTAGTTTACTTCAGCTACTTTCACAGTATAGTGACGTACGTACGGCATTGTTTTGAGGATTATCTCACATATTAATATAATAAAAATAAACTGGCTGCCCTCCCCCACTAACATTTTGGTGATTGCTAATAAAGGGTTACAATAGTGCTATTGAACTAGTGATAGCCATTTCAAGTGTTTTGTAAGATATACACAGGTTACAAACGCAATCTAAAATAGTAAATAATTTACTCCATTCCACTCTTTTAACTTACTTAGTAACACAAAAGTGTAGATTTTAAGACTTTCGTGGTTATTCGCTAAATGATTATCACTAGTATCAGGTTTCTTACCACGGTATGACTTCTTTTTATTTTCCCGATATTTCGGAACGGTTGCACGCTCCATGGTCAAGGGGTTGACTGGACGGCGGCAGATGACAGCTTTAAGAGCAGACATATCTGTCTACCCTCTTGCGCTGTTGACGACTACCTTCATCGCGATTTGTTGTGGCATTACCATTGTCACTCACTTTTTGCACACAAACCACACTCACTGTATCCACACGCGAAACTGAACTCGAGGTGTTTTTGTTTTTATTACTGCACGCACTAAGGACCGGATTCCATGCACTGGACAGTTTAAAACCATCATCACGGTTAAACGTTTTGTACTTCGTGATCTCGATGGCTTCTCGTACCAACCGTGGTATGTAGTGACATTATGTCGAGAGTACCTGGGGGCTATGCAACTCGATCCAGTGGTTAGTGTCAGTCTGTGTGAGATGTTGTGCTATAGCCGACTTCTGTGCATCATTGTTTTTTACTGCTCGGATGTGTTCCTTCATACGATCGACAATTGTTCGTTTAGTCTGACCGATATACGAGCTACCACAACTGCAGTTCCCTTTATAGACACCCGGTGTTTGTAAAGGAAGGTGGTCCTATGGTGAACGTAACATTTTTTCCTATTTTGGTTAAGGGGGTGAAAACAGTTTTTTGGAAAACTTCCTTAGCGGCCTGGCTATTTTATCTCTCACCCCTTGTACATAGGGCAGAAAAACTGGTAGTCTCTGTACGTCAATTTGCTTCTTCCTTTTGTGTATTGGTTTAAATGTTTTTATTTTGTATCCATTCTGTCGCAAAACCGTCTTAACGTGGTCCTCAATATCGGGAAAATAAAAAGAAGTCATACCGTGTTACGAAACCTGATACTAGTGATAATCATTTAACACAAAAGTGCTTCATCGATACAATATACAGGCTGTATATTTAAAAGTGAGACATTCTTATAGAGTGCGTTATATTCCTGATTCTGAACCCAAAGAAATAATAAACTAATGAACTTAAACTTTATAAAATAATATTTTTTATATTTTTTTATCGACTATTACTTGCAAACAACATTAGTTATCGAAATCTATGCACATCACTATTATTGCTCCGACGACGCAGCGGCGGGCGGCGGCGTGGCTTTGTTATCTGGCACGGCGGCGAAAAACAAAGCAATTGTCGGGGGTAGAGATGGGTCATGGATAAATGTTATTGGGATAAATACTCAGTAGAAAGAGTTTTGACTTTTGAGTGCTTTTGGGTGCCTATGAGGGCCCGCTAGTGCCTTTGAGTGCTTTTGAGTGCCTATGATTCCCTTTGAGTGCATTGAGTGCCAGCAGTGCCTAGGTGTGCCTGCGAGTGCCTTTGAGTACTTTTGAGTGCCATTGAGTGCCGTCGAGTGCTTTTGAGTGCCTTTGAGTGCCCGCGAGTGCCTTTGAGTAACAGTGAGTGCTTTTATTTATTTATTTATTTTATAGATAAGGTACATCAAAAGTAGTACATATACTCTTAGACACAGTGTAACTTTACATTAGGATTGTACTTATATGTCTACCTATTACAGACGTACACAACATTTAATGTGATAAAATAATAATAAGCAACAAAAAGAACAACAAAGAACCTATAAAATTACTGGGGAAACGATTCGAGAATGTTATTTTTGGAAACATTATGGGAAGAATCAAAAATGTCTATATCTATTCGAACATTAATTTGGTTGTAGAGGATAATTCAGGTAGTGGACTGTGCAAAGCTAGGTTAGTCCGGCATCGTGGAACATTAAATATTTTGGTTATTTTATGACGGGGGTATTTATAAGGCATGTTAATATTTATTTGGTTCAGAATATTGCAACATTTTATTGTATTATTTAGTATACCATGTAAAAATAGGAGGTCAGATAATATTCGGAGATCTCTAAGCATATTCATTTTGAAGTACTGTAATCTCTGAACATATGTATGTCTATGTGATATACCCGACGAGAAAAAAGCTAATTGTCTTGTAAACGCACGCTGAATACTTTCAAGTCTTTGTAAACACAGTAAACTGGGTTCCACACTACACTGGCGAATTCCAAATGAGTCCGAACCGAACAAGACTATTAAAAAGTATAGTTTTTGTTTTCACTGATTTGAAATCTTTTGAGTTACGTGTCAGGAAACCCAGCATTTGTGCCGCTCTTCTTGTAATGTTATCTATATGTGTATTAAATTTTAGCCCACTCTCAACTGTAACTCCCAAATCCATTACTTCATCTACCTTCTTTAGTACTACACTGTTAATATTGTATGAGCAAAGTACAATAAAATTGCACTTGGTAGTAAAGTTCATGGTGTGACACTTTTGTGCGTTCAGTGACATTCCATTGTTATTGCACCAAACAGTAATATTGCCTGAATCTCGTTGCAATAGTACGGCATCAGAAGAACTCGTAACGGTGCGATACAATTTTAAATCGTCAGCAAAGAGTAATGCATTACTATGTTTTATTACAGTAGTTATATCATTAATGAACATTACAAAAATTATTGGTCCAAGATCAGATCCCTCAGGCACACCTGATTTAGCAAAAAAGTGTATGATTCGTACCCATTTACTGCCACAATTTGAGGTCTTTTTGGAAGATATGACTTAAACTATAATAACAGGGACAGCCATCGACACCAAAAGCTTTGATTTTCATAAGTAAACGGGCATGATCAACTTTGTCGAACGCACTGGAAAAATCAGTATAGACTGTCTACCTGAAGGCCTTTATCAACCTACACGTGTGAAACAAATGATACCAGCTTACTTTCGACTGAGCGACCAGTCCTAAATCCATGCTGAAGATCTGAGATGTGGTCATTGGCCAAATTATAAATGAATGGGTATACGAGTGACTCAAAAAGTTTTGAAAAACATGACAAAATTGAGACTGGACGATAATTCGTTATATCAGATTGATCGTTTTTTTGTATATTGGAACGATCCTAGATTTATTCCATTCCTCCGGAAAGATTCCAATGCTCAGTGAATAGTTAGTGATGAGTGGCAAAGATAGACAGGAAGCACAACGGTTAATGAAGAGTGGAGGGATATTGTCGGGTCCGGCTCCTTTATAGACGTTAAGTTGTTTAATTTTTTTCAATACTTCTGTTTCAGTAAATTTAATATTACATAGGTGGTTGTTAGTTGTTAAATCTTATGTGGCATTATCTAGTACGTTGTCAGAGTAGACGGAAGAAAAGTGAGTTGCGAAAAGATTGGATATACCATCACTAGTTGATGTAGTAATATTGTCTAGTTTCATTTCAGCTGGGAAAGTAGAGAAACCTTTACGTTTTGATTTGATGAAGTGCCTGAATGCAGTCGGGTTTTTACAAATTTCGATTCAAGAGTTTGTTTGTACTGAACATTTAAAATGTCAATTAATTGATGGCAACGATTTCATAGTAGTTCATATTCTGTACGGTCTCTGGGGTTTTCGAATTTGTGAAATCTCTTCCGAACTTTGTCTTTTTCTATTATTAATCGGATAAGTTTATTATTGAATCATACTGGGTATTTGGTATTTTTAGGTTTTCTACGGGGTACAAAGTCGATTATAATATCATTTAAAATATCTTAAAATGAAGAGACCATAGAGTTAACGTCTCGAGCGCTGTCGAAAATAAAATATAATAAAATAATAAAATAAAAAATAATAAAGTCATAATTCGCTTTAAGAAAGTTAAAGTCGCGGCGATTAGTCAGGGGAATATTAAGGGTGGAACCGAGATCAGTGATCAGAGTATTGTAAACAAAATTTGTGGGTGATGCGGGTCCAATCTGGACAAAAAATCAATAGGCCGCGAAACATATGCATTATGAAAACTGCTGATTGTTAAATCTAGTATACGACCATTCGAATTTTTAATACCATTTGTTTGATATAAATTATTTAGAGTTAAGAAAACTGTCAACTGGTAAGCAAGAGGCTTATGGTAATTAGAAGGTATCTTGTAAGAGACATCTTCTTTAGGGTGCCAATTGATAAAATTCAAATTAAAGTCTCCCATAATAACTACATTTTCAATGTTGTTCAAAGCTGCATCTACACTGTTCAGGAATGCTGCCTGAATTAAAATGTTGATGAATTAAAATTTACAGGCGGCGCTAAATATACAACACAAATTGCAATATTCTTAAGACTTCCATCAATTGTTTCTGTGGTATTTTCTAAGAATTGTTATTGTGATATTCATCCATACATACTCACAATCACTTTCCCAGTTCACAATACGCATAGAAGGGATATCTCGTGATACAGCGATCAAAACACCCCCTCCATCAGATTTAGAAGCATTACAATGGATACGATCTCTATGGTATACAGTGTAGCGAGAGTCTATGAATTCACTATTCGCTACGCTAGAGTTAAGCCACGTTTCGGTGAAAGC